AAAAAAAGAAAAAAAAAAAATAAATTTTAAAAAAAAAAAAAAAAAAAAAAAAATGGAGAAATCAATATCGTGGTCCAGTTTGTTGAAAGCAACAAAATGTCGAATCCATAATATTCGAAAATTCTTACGGTTGCCCTGATAGAATCAAAAGTAGATAAAAGTAGATACGAATAATTTGTTTGACGTTTTTCTTGTGGCACACAAGCACGTTTATTTTTCTTGTATATAAATATCGATGATACCAGGAATGAAAGTTTTAGAGACGCTGATGAATTTTGTCGTTCAATACATATGTTAATAGAGGAACAGAAAGCAGAAAAGTCAATCGAATGTGATCGAAGCGACTGAACGTAGAAATAATGAAAAATATTATGTAATCGAATTACAAAAGATTTTTATCGATCGAAAGTCGGTCGAGATATATCTCGACGTGATATAGGATAGTTTGTCGTTATTTCTCCGCAATAATTTGCTGCTAGCGAGCGTAATTCTAGCAAACACCATTTTCCTATTAAGCATTGCTGTTCCAAAGTTGAATTCTTTATGAATTGTCGATCACTCGCTAATTCAAGAAGCAAATTGTTGCCGAACATCGCGTAAATCGTAACAGTAGAATCTGTTAGATCTTTAATTTGTTAAGAATATTTTAAAAAATTTACAGGACATATTACCGAAACGAAATTGTTGAATTATCTATGCGCATCAAAGCACGTACACGTAAATATTTTTCTTTAACGCCAGAATTAGCAGGAAAATGGGCGAAAATTGTAAAAATGTAATAATCACGCAATTAGAAAGTCATTAGTGGAAAAAAAATATATTATGTATCTATGGCCGATCTGACATCGCGTGGAGCTGGCCTACAATATGTGTCTTCGTGTTACTTATATAGTTACATACAGATAGTACGATCATTGAGTTGAGGAAAGTTTTATTTGAGAAACGAGGAAGTGATGCGCGTTTACCTAGCTGGTGCATCAATTGTAAAAATACTGAGCAGACTATAGCCTTTCTTTCTTTTCTTTTTTTTTTTTTTTTCTTCTTTTAGTTGACACGTTTCTGTGGAACGTAGATTTAGTAAAGACGAATGTATTTTATTCACTGACTCGAGCTGTAACGAGATAGATATACTCTGCGAGTTCGCGTAAACGAACATAAGCGATTCTTGCAACTTTCGAACTAGAGACGTTGTTTCGAATGTTACATTAACATTCACAGACATATAGGATGTGTGATAAGGGGCATAAGAGGTATTTGTATCTCCAAGACTTACATAAAATACGTGTAATGTAACAAGTTAGAATGTACGATCAGGTGTTCGATTTTAGAATGACGAACACACTTTCACGCGTCACCTCGTTTTTCTTTTCCTGTTTTTAAAACCACGTGCGAGTGTGTTTACGCTTGCATTGAAGATATAGAAACAAGTATGTGTAGTTTTTAAATGATATTTTTGCGAAAGAGTCAACATCACAGTACCTATAGAAAAAAATCATCGTTTCCAATCAATCATTTTTTAAATGGCTATACGTAAGTATACAAGGAGTAATTGTTTTACCGGGACGTCATCGTGTTGCGCTGTAATATCGAATAGTCTCGACACGTTGAAACTCTTTTTAAACTTGGCCGGCCACAGACAGCCGGTGTTTTTTGATCCGCGTAATAATTTTCTAACGATATATTCTTTAGATGGTAAAGTAACGTATCGATGCCATGGTTCGATATTCTATGAACGAAAAGCTAAATGAATCAAGTGTACATAAGAAACAAACGATCGAATTAATTAAAAACTCGAGGTCTCTGCGAAGTGTCGTCATTTGATTTTAATCAGACACACGCTGAATTTCCACTTTTAACGAAACGGGTCTTTCGAGTAACCTAAAGTAAATTTTAGTTAAAAAGAAAAAACAAGAAGTTAAAAAGAAAAAGCAAGAAATTAAAAAGAAAAAAAAAGAACACAATGAAAGAGGAGTAGAACGCCGAAAAAATTAAAAAGTCATTGCGAGAACACTTTTCCATTTTCACGTTCTTTCTGAGTGCGTGTCTAACACGTATTTTGTTTTAACGTTTCCTTTTGTCTTCTTTTTTTAATCTCAATCGTACGATAGCGTGTAATTCATCTTTATTTTTATATGGTCGCGAAAATCCAAAACTATACCGCGTTATTCAGCGCACAATTTAACTCCGAGACGCGAGAAATGTTCCTTTGAAAGCATGTACGCATAAATATGTACAAAACCATACAGAGCGAATCTTTAAAAGTTAGTAGGATATACGAGTATTAAATGGATATTTTATTTGATCGAGTGTCTGGTCGAGGAGCCATTGTCCATGAAAAAAGATTTCGAGCCAGGAAAACCTTACGACATTAATACGTTGCTTATCAATCTGAGATGAGTAAAACAATTTTCCAATTTCTCAATATGTCAATAAAGCGACAAATGATCTTTTCATCTGTGAAATCTTTACGTCGATTCATGTTCATTTTTACTATGCAAATTGTAAAAAGTTCGACTAAATTGCTAAGAATTATGCTTTCAGGAATTCGGTTTTGAACAACTTGATAAGCAATGTGTTAAAAGAAAGACATTCAATAGATCTAAACACACGACAGACAGACAATAAAGAAAATGCAAGTATCAAAAGAGAAAGAGGGTTGCGCGAATTTTTTTGATGACTCGTCACTTCGACTTTCGAAGAAGAACATTCTCAGTCGAATGAATTCCATAAACTGTCGATTATTCGTTGCTAATATTATGAACTTGTAGACAGAAATAGTTGGTATTTCTGGTGGAAAATTAAATAATTTGCAAAATTTCTATACCTCTTGCAAATTCTTGTAACTGTCATTTTTGTAACTGGTCTCAATGTTTTACTATGAAGGAAATTTAAAAGCCTTTCAAATATAATATTATTATGTAAAATATCCAAAATTTCCGAGGACCAATAATCATTTTCTAAATTGTTTAATTATAAATGTCACTTTTACAGTAAAAGGGAGAATGGTAATAAATTCATTAGATTTTTCACTGTTTGATCAAATCGCTTCAATTAATTCTGTACTACTGTAAAAATACAACGATATATAAACATATTTATCTAAGTTACATATTGGAGAAAATAGCAGTTATAAGTAACCGTGTAACAATGTAAATTATAATTTGTACCGAAAGTTGCGGAATGTTCTAAGTTTTGAAACGTAACGTTAAAGTAAAATAAATTAAGAAATTTAATTTCTCGAATAACAGGCTTAAATGATAAAAATATTTTCTCTGATATGTGATATCAAACAATAACTTTCATAACACGAATTAAAACATTTGATACATAATATAAAGTTTTGTATGACTACGGTTAGAGAAGACGAACATAATAAATTTTCGAAGTTTGATCAAGCAGTTTATGGAGAGAGAGAGAGAGAGAGAGAGAGCGAGAGAGAGTGAGCGAGAGAGCGAGAGAGAGCGAGAGAGAAAGAGAGAAGTTAGTTTTATCTTATGCAAATAGTCGACAAAAAATTGAGTTAGTCGAATGGGACTAACTAAGATTCTAAACGCAAGGACCACTAATGTTTATGCTGCTCGAAACTACGAGTGGGACAGTGTACGAATTTTTAAGGAACAGTTTTCTTCTATTATCTATTCTAGCAACGAATAATCGTTGTAACTCGAACGACAGAGAACACCGCGTTTTTCGCTTACGAAGTCTCGTCGTTCACATTTACTTCATCGATCCTAATTGGTTATTCACGCGCCTCTAATTAACGACGGTACATCAAATAGAATCAAAAGCTCGCGGCAAGACTTCATGTCGTCGGGCCTTTCCTCGCAAGCACGTTCATATTCAAAAGTCTCGTTTTCATCGACGACTAACAACGAGACGATTAGCAAAACGCAGCAACAAAGAGACACTTAGAGCCTCAGGAAGACCAAAATGATGCATTATCTCAGATTTGTAGATTTTCGTTTTTTTTTTTCTTTTTTTTATCAGTGGCGAAAGACATATCACCGGCCGCGGATGACGATTTTCGATGACGATTGATATAGCTTTCTCTGAAATAGGGAAATAAATGGAAAGCGAGATAAAATGGGATAATAATGAGAAACACGGGTGTCGAAAAGACTTTACGGGGATCGTGCGATAGGAAACGCGCAAACGGCTGGCATCGCTATTACACAACATGGGACCGTTTAAACATAAGACACTTATAATTTTATTGTTCGATTCCTTCGCCCAGTCGGTAGCCGTGGGGCGGAATGTAATTTTGTCTTGCGGCTCCTTGCTAATTTCGTAACATCGATCCAGAGGTCGAATCAACACGAGGGGGAGGTTTTTTGTCCTTTCTTCGCAGCGTATTCACGCGCTAAGCGGGAGATTAATAAATTTATTAAAAAAACGAAAACGAAAAAAAAAAGGTAAAAAAACAGTAAAGACTTACCTCAGTAACGTAATGTACGCAAGAATCAAACATCTTTATGATCGAGAGTACGTATACACCGTAGAGCCGACGTCCTTTGTATATTTTCCGTATTGTACATAGTTATACATACGCCTTATCGGTAATTATCGCTGTACGATAACCGTCGAACTGCGCACTATTTAATATGTATTTATGCGAATCATTGGACAAAAGAAGCTGCGCCGATTTGGTCAGCAACGTGCTCGCAGAAAAAGCGACGTGGGTAGAAAAGAAGATACTTTTTAAGAAGAACCATGCTTCAATCAGTGGGAATATTTTTATTTATAAGTGAATTTCGTTT